AGGTAAAACATTTTGATTAAAGTGCCATGTTTCATTACACTATTCCCAAATTATCTCTTTCCTTATGCTGTGAAACTACTTACTTGTTCCTAATATCTGTGCGAGTCTAAGCAGCATCTTGTAAGTAGTTGATCAAGGAATTATTTTAAAATACATTTTATTTTAAAATACATGTTTTTTATTTTAAATGCATGTTTTATCTGAACACATAAGTACGTGTGAGCAGGTATATAAATCTTTGTTTGAGAGCATAATTTCTTACCTTTACTTTGTTGAGCTGTTTGCCTGTATTAAATCATTAATATAAACATAGTTAGGAGAGGAGGATGGAGCTGGCAGGAATAGACCTTAAGCTGCCTGCAGTGCAGCTCTTAATGTTTTTCTGATACTGGTGTTCAGAGTTTGGCTGGCTGCTGCCAAGTCTGCACCTGCATAATTCTTGATTGTAACTCTGCATGTATTCCTCTTAATAAGAACAAGTAAATAAKGACTTCTGTTATTTACCAAACAACCAAACATGAGGATTACTTCAAACTCATATATAGCAATCCCTCTTCTGTGCTAATACTCATGTCATTTCTGTCTCATGCACAGAGGATGCTCAGGCTTCATTCCTCAGCAGAAATATGTATATCTCTGTGTTCTACCTTGGGTTYAACTTGCTATTTAGAACCCTTACTCAAAATGCATATCTGGTATTTTGATTATGGATTGTCACATAAACAGAATGATTGATTAAAGCAATTTACATAGAAGCCATTGTGATGTTTCTGAGCAAGGGAAAATATACAGAAGCACATGGCGCTTAATTACACCGCTTAACAATAAATGTCAAGTTAAACCTTTTTTAAAAAAGATGAATGCTATGCTTAAGGAAAATGCAATTACATTTCTATGCTTTGAAATGTTTTACACACTGTATACATTAGAGGGGCAAAGATGTTAACACCTCTGTACATGCAAAGGTGCTGACAGGTTTCAGATGCTTCAAGGCAGGCTTTTGTAGCCCCTGTCCCCTATTGCTTGCAAAGGGAACTCATTTACTGTAATGTGCTGTTATTCTGAGCTCGTTTTCTTGTGTGAAAACACATTTGCATACAGACACACTTCTTGGAACTCATTGAGAACACGAGGACAGTGGTCCTGATTTGGTAAATTGTTGCATATAAACAGGATTTGCATTAAAATGAGTGTTTTATATCACAGACTGATTATACGTTCCATTTTAATAATGTTGAATGAATGGCAATAGTAGATTTCAAAAAGCCACTCCTGATTTTATGTACCAGTATTAAATTTAATTAAAAATGTCTTTCTCCTCTTTCTCTCTACTATGCTGAAATTTAGCAACAGACCTGGAGTTTCTTCTCCCATTAAATAAAGTGTACACTTCTATAACAAATTATCCAAATTACATTCAATAATTCGCTTAATAAAAGGTTTTCATGCTGCTGTATTCCTGTGGAAGGGTAATGGAGGAGGAGCAACTGAACATCATCCAATTCTTGCARTTCTTTCCAGAAATTCTAGCTATATCATATTGGTGCAGCTCTCCCTTCTGGCCCTGAATTACAAATGAAAAAGAACAAAATGACGTTGTGAGGATAACTAACTTGACTGCATTCAAGGTAAAGATAAAGATAAAGGTTAGTCTTAATTMGGAGTGGTTTTCCAATCTTGTTTGCCACCTGACTTTCACCAGTTCAGCACCGCAGCATGACTCAGAGAGGTTTATGGAGGGTAGTTCTCTTATATTCAGTTCAGAGCTTACGGACCTTGGCACCTTTTCTGTGGTCTTTTCTGAACTTGTGGGATGAAAGCCTGTCTTCCTCTTACTCTATACAGTGGCAAGATGTCCTCTCCACTGCTGTCAGAATGGTCTAACTTCTCTATTTTTCTGTGCTCAAATTTGTAAGTATTATAACAAAGCACACTTTATGTGATGGACAGCTCATTTCTTTTTCTTTTYAATCCATGAATTTAAAGAAAATATGTGAAATAAGATGTTTTCAGTGCCATAAATTAAATAAAGCATTATAATTTAATTGCACTRTGTGATAACGGAGTATTTTTCCTGTTGCCTAGCAATGAGATTCAACTTGTGCTTAAAATTCCTTTATTAACTTCAGTTTTCAAAGGTTTATAACTTTATTAAAAATCATTACTTGTGGGACAATCCTGAAAGTGCATGTTGGATATTATGGGGTCACTTACTAAGGAAGCTTGAGGCAGAAAGCTCTGGTGCTATTGATTTCTGTATCCTATCTCCCTACTACTCTRTGGGGTGAATTTAGAAAGTAATTTCTTGAGCAAAAATTTGCATATTCCCACAAATCTGAATGTCTGGGAAAAGATTTGAGTACTGGTGTTTACAGYTGCTTCCAGCAGCATTGCACAGCTCTAATGCTTGGTATGATCACATGGAACCTGATGAAGGAGACTCATGCTTGAAGAGGTTGGAAGGGCAAAATATCTGGTAAGGGTAAAAAGAAAAGCTATAGATCAAGTCCAGAAAGTTGCTTTGTTTCACAGGAGGAGCTAGCTTAAAGTTAGGRCTGGCCGGTATATGTAAAACCAGACAGGTTTTAGCTCGAGGAGAAAATATTTTTCATTCCAGTTAYCTCTGCTAAGGGTGGGATTTGGTTTGTTTTGTACTATTCCATAAGGCAGTGTTGTATGTAAAAGGACTTGAATTTGAGCTCCTGCAGAAAAGAGCTGAAAATTACTAAATATCTTAAGCTATTCTCAAGAATATTTCCAAGAACCAAGTGGTTTTTCGCAGACAAAATTATTAGAAACKGTGTCAGAAAGATAGTGGTGCTATGCCACTAATAGATGTGTTTCCAGAGTGCATCTTGTTGCAAGGAAGAAAGCAAAAAATAACTTTATTTGTTCTATTCTCTAGAAACATTTAAGGAAGGAGAMTATTACTGGAATTCTATTATATATAGTATCTATGTGGACTGAACAAAAGATGCCAGAATCAGCCTTCGTGAACGTGTGGGAAGGGGGAGGTATTTTGAATTAATCCACTAATCCTTTTTGAAAGCTAAAACTGCCTTTACCTACCTAGCATTTCAAAATGGTTGTGATTATTGTGAAAGATCTGGGTTTGCAAATTGAGATTTATTCATGTTACTTACAGAAGATCTCTCTGTTTCATTGTAAATCTTCAAGGAATGTGGCTTTATTCACTTTGTTAACTACTACATCTATGTAATTTCAATTTGTCACCTTTGTAATGGTTTATTTTTAATTAAAAAACATATAAATTTGAAGTTCATACCTTCTTGTGAGCAAAGTAGCTTTTACAGGAAGAGGAGGCATTCGTCAGCATAGTATTTATCTGGTGAAGCAAGATTAGTTAAGAAAACCAAAGTAAAACCAGACTTTGTGTTTCACATAAAATGTCTTCTCATGGTTGTTTCAATATGTATATTCTTGTACATATGTAGTTTTCCTTTGGGGTTATATAGTCTCAATATGATTATGAATGCTAATTGATTTTAGGAGTCTGCTAGGCATATGCCATTTTTGTTGACAAAGTATAGATATTATAGATGACATAGATCAATATCAAATGTGAAAAAGTGCAGTGTTTGCTGTGGTTAGTGTAAGTTGCATTTCCTGTTTAGCTAGACTGTCTTAGGCACCATTTCATGTTCCTGCAGCCTTTGTATAGAAGACGAGGAAAGGGAGGTGTGCCTGAGAGTCCCTGTTTTMGACCTCTAAAGTTAGATTTTTCAGCTAACCTTTCCCATCCATATTCCGTTACAAGTGCTGTGAAATCTTCCTTCTTCATTAGTCTGCCTTGAAAAATTCCATTTCTCACTGGAGTGCACAGTGGGTTAGTGGTGTGGATTTCACATCGCCTGTGCTTCSCTAGAGGATCATCATCCATACAAGAACTGAATGAAAATGAATGAGTGTTGCCCTGACAGGGTGTAGTATTCCATGACAATAACTAGGGGACTGGAAAAGTATTGATTATTTTTTGCTGTTAAACTGACACTTGAGAGAATGTGTAAAATACAATGCTCTGGTTTGGAATTTCATATGTTAAAGCAGTTGATACCAGTTGTATCTTTTACATGTATGAATTGGAAACATACCATAGAAATCCATTATATCTGTTGGGAAATGTTTAGATCAAAGGTAGGTAGGCTGTCCATTATATCAAGTGGACCTAAGACCATTTCTGTTCTCATGAAGAGAATATTTATCTTGGTACACCTTGCTCTAGGGAGAGGTTTTTGGCTCTCCTGGAAATCTGTCCTAATAAAAAACATAAGTAATTGCAGCATTCTCATATTGGAGTCTAATATCTTTAATGGTTGCTCTTATTTGATGTTCAGCACCATTAAAGTTCTTCTATTTTATGATAAGAATGTTGGAAGTCTGTATAACTATACCTGGTGATTTTAATTTAACTAATTTGGGATGTTTTGTTTCTTTATTTTTCTATTCTTCCAACACCTCTTTTTCCTAGAAAAAAAACCCAGTTCTGATAGCTCTGACTTGATAACAATAAAACAGAAAAAAGGGAAAATATTTATATGTAGTTTCAGCAAGTGATAAGAAGGACACAAAAGTAGTCTTACATTAATGGAAGCAATTCCTAAGTGATATTTGTTGGACAAACCCCTGATTTTTACCCTGAGTTTTGCCTAACATATGCTTCTTACCCATGGTTAAGCAGCTGCACAGTAAAAGTCTTAAGTTATTGCTAATTTTTTKGGCGGGAAATAATTCAGTAAGAACTATGCCAATGAAATTAATTCTCAAGTTGCAGTCATAGTTTTGAGTGATCACCAAAGATTGTGTGTCAGAAAAATGATTCTGTACTGAAAGTGTGATTAAGAGGGCATCTCAGTATCATTTTTTTGAGGTGTCCTTGGTTCATTTGTTTACATTATCAGAAACAAGTTCTACATTAAATGCAAAATGCCTTAAATTAAAATACTTAAATCTCTGCATACATTTATATTGTTGTCTTCTAGGTTGACTGGGGTCAACTGGACTATTTAGTAATTGACATGCCACCTGGGACTGGAGATGTACAGCTGTCAGTATCACAGAATATTCCCATTGCAGGTATGTGTATTGCTTTACTGTTTCAGAGATTTGAAGTTAATGAAGTTTGGTAGCTTTAGAAAAATCTTATTTTAAAAYGCCAGTCAAGAATTAATTTAATTCTTTTCCAGCATGCTAAAAAAATGGTTTCATCAGTTGTGTGGTGTTAGAAACAGTATCAGTGATTTTTAACASGTATTATGGTTGTTACTTTCTTTTAAGCTATGTTTGACATTGAGAAGTCAACTGTACAAAACATTGAGAAGTCAGCTGTAACTCTTGAAGGGAGTCATGCCAAAAACTGCTAAATTTTACAGTAGAAAACAATTTCCTTGTCTATACCTACTACAGAGGAAAACTAATACAATAAAATTGATTGTCTTCATGATTGCTTTTTTAGTTAGATACTGTTAATTCACAGCATTTATTTAGATAAAGTATTCGGCACTATAATATGCTAATGCATTCTTTTTCCTTTTGTGTTACCAATTTGGCGTTTTGTAGGAGATTTAGACTTTGACAAATCCATCTTGCCGTATGCAGGCTGCCCTCTGATCTTGCTGGTTTCATCAAGACTTGAAATTCTGCTTCTGAAAGATGCTCAAGCATCTCACAARGTCTAAAAAACTGTAATGGTTCATGTCTGACATGCTTCAACAGAAGCAGTTGTCAATAACCAACATAATCAATGGTGGGAACTCTGGTGGAAGAGCAAAAGCAATSCTTACAGTCCCAATTTAATAATTGGCTTTTCACCAGGAGGGGAGTCCATGGGATCTCCATTCTTGGTAGTCATCCAGATYGTACTAGACAAACAATACCTGATCTTACCTAGTGTTGCCAGCAGAAAACCTCCCAAGACCTTTTCTAATTAATGATTTTGTGAATCGGAGTTATGAAGGAGTCAGTAGGATTGCTTGCTCCAGTTTTAATGGGATCAGGCAGGTATGTCRGTACAAACCTGAAATGGTAGCATCTTTGCCTGCTCTTACTCAGTTTCCTGCATGCAGATTCTCATGTGCACAGGCACTGGTTCCCTCCGACACTCCTTTATCTCTGCACGTTGGTGGCAGTAACACACTGAAGTGAATCCAGTAAATATYAAATTGATAGAACTGTTTCACTTAAATGCAGAATTCTTCTCAATTCTGATTGTCTGTAAGTTTAATTAATAAAGAACTATGTATCTCTAAAACTTCATAGGAAAGAATTAGAGTTAGCTTGAGATCTAAGTAGAAGATAGGTCGCTCAGTAGGGAGACAAGAGCTGATGGATTTTGGACCATACATCTTGCTTTCATAGGAAAACCATTAACAGTACAGTGATGTCTGCAGAACTGAAAGGAGCCCTTTAACAATCAGGCTTTTTGCTTAACACTGCCATATCTCAGCTTCARTCACTTGAACATGATAACCACAGTTATATATAGATATTTATAGATATATTTAGAAATAAATATTTAGAAGACAAATTGTCAGATTTAGCATCAAGGCTACATGGTGAAGATTTTATGATCTTCACTGATGTCAGGTTCAGAAAAAAAAAACCTTTTGACATAAAAAACTTAAATGTTCAGACACATGCTAAGCCATAACATTATTTCCCTGAAATTGTTAATAATCCTGGGAGGCTCTTCCTCCTGCCTGTGATTCTGTTGAGTGRTGGAAGAGAGCAAATCACAGAATTKTAATAAAAAATATAATGATTCTTTCCTAGAAGAAGTAAAAGAGGAGGCTGCTAGTGCCTCACCTTGTCAATGACCTGGAGCACATGATGAAAAGCAAACTGATTCATACCCATTTTCTTGGATACAGTGCTTAGTCGGTTGCATGTGTCAGTGGAAACCAGGAGGGCCTTTCACTCCCAGGGTCTTAAGCAATGAGGTGAAACACGACCGTGGCACAGAAGTTTTTGATGAGGTAGAATTTAATTTAATCACACACGTGAGGGGAATAAAATTGTGCAATTGAAGAGTCGTGGCTTTGGTACATTTGGCTTTTTAAGTACAATGGGTATTGATAATTTTTGTTTACGACAATGCACATAAATGTCCTCACTTAACATAGAAAAGATAATTAGACTCTTAGTCTTCAAGRGATTGTTGTGCCCTTTCCCCAAGGAACTCTGCACTGCTTTCCGGAGTGTGAGTAGTTATGGTGGTGCACTGGGTCCTCTGGGACAGAGAGGTGACGGAAATTACTTTAATCCTGTATTTTTTCTAATTTTTGCTGATGTCTGACTGTGAAAGGTCACAATCTAAATGAACTGATAAACTACACAAGTAAAYGGAAACCTTAATTTATTTTTGTTTTCCTAATGTTTAACATCCTTGTAGTATGCAGTAGATGTTGAAAAAAGCAAAGCAAGTTTTAAAAAAGCTAGATTTTTCTTGCCAAGCACAGCCATGTCCTCATTCTCATGTTGAAGTAACAAAGTGAAGAATTAAGACTAAGTAATTTTTATTGAGTAAATAATTTTTATTCAGTATTTTAATTAGTTTTCCATATGGTTGTCAGAAACCTGGGGTATTCATACCTGTTAAATCAGGTTTTGAAGCAAGTCAAATTAGACAAGATGTTGATTTAAAAAAAAGAAAAGGGAAGCAGGTTTAAAACAAAAACAAGCAATGCGGATTTTCCTGATAAGCCATAAAAGGAGATATATTCTTGCCCATGTCTGTCTTTAAACTCTTCACTGTAKGTTTCCAGCGTAGTTTTAGGGTTTTTTATAATTTTATTGATGTATACAAGTGTATGCTTTAACAACTTCCTAACTGAAGACAGCATTTTAATTTGAATTCTGAATTGGCTTCACATTGTTCCTACAGTTGCTCAGTTCAGCTTATTTTTTTGTCAATTCTAGCTTAATAAAATTAGGAGTAATAGCATCACTTTACATTTGTCTTTCCCTTTAGTTGGTTTTGTTGACCATGCTGAAGCTGAATCTTGCAATTCAAAAAAAATAAATCTATTCTGCTTTTGATGAAGACAAACACAGCAGACAAGGAGTGATAAGATACATAATTCCCAGTGTTCTTACTGGCTTAATGAATTTGTGGTTTAGAAAGAATTTTCTCTTTTGTTTATTGTGGCTATTTTTCACCCTCATTGGAAGGATTTGTTTTTATGTATTACAGCTTGAACTGTGCTTTCTTATTTTGCTCATTACTTGCTTTCTGTCTCTTTTCTCAAAGAGTCCATAAGATTGTTTAATATGCTTCTATTTTCTTCAACTTTGTTCCTGTTGAGGGTGTGGAAGAGAGTGSTACATATCTTGATTATCGTGTCTTTGAAGGAGTCTACAGAATTCTGGTGGTTTGGGGACTCCATCTTCGTTTGCAATTCATGTTTTCTAAGCCCTGTGTTGCCTTTTACTTGGTTACAGAAAGTATGTGGTGTTGTGCCACTCTGTTCCCTCTCCAGTTTCTTGTTTTTTTCGTTCTTCATTCTTTGAAGATGCCTTGAACAGTCATGGTATTAGTGGAATAATCTCTCTGTTTTTCCTCAGAGACAGCATATGTATCTTAGTTTAGTAAATTTAGAAGTGCATTATCTAATTTGCATGAAAGTTGTTCTTTGATTTGCGTGCATGCATATGTGAGATACAGTATTTGCATTATGGTTCCTTCATTATTCATCTGAGGCTTCCTCAGGACAGATAGTGTAGAAGATTTCTGTTTCGCCTCTAAATAAATTTACAAAACCCGCACACATATTATTGTCAGCCACTTCCAGAATTTTCTGTGAGTCTGAGAAAGAGCACTGGTAAAGATGGTTTTTTTTGTGGTGGGTTTGGCCAGATGAAGCATGAAAAGCTGCAGATTTGCAACATCTGAGTGCAAGAGAGACACTGATAGGATGTCTGAAAYGGTATTGGGTTTTAATTTTACAGGATTGTTTTCTTTTCCTGCATCACAGGTCCCRTAGCTTTCTTGAGTCAAAAGGAGACTAGAGCAATACCTAATCGGTGTAAAAGCAAAACAAGATGTGTCTTAAAATTCCAGTAGTTATTACGGAGAGTGTCAGCCTCACACAACCTTTTTGTGTGGGTGCTTTTCCTTCTTTAAAAGAAGGTRAAAAAGCAAACTGCTCTGGCTTTTGGTTTTTCTTTTATTAGACCTGTCACTTTACAAGGAGACACATCTTATTTAGTAAATTGTTCTTTAATCATTTGTAACTTTGCTCATGTTGCAGTCATTCATCAGCAAACTAGTATAAAGGAATGTTATGATAGCTTTGAAAATGTGATACATATTTCTGCCTAAGTACCACTGCTTCCTTCAGTTGCAAGATTGCTTTCCAAATAGAAATTCAGGGTCMTTCTGGAGAAAATTACTTTGTTCATGTCCATTGTTAGTTAACTTGCATTGAATTCTACATCCTTACTTCTACTTTAGTCTTCTGTTCGATGTTTTGCATGAACAAAAGCTCCAGAAGCAGGTTCTTTTATCTTGTTTTGAGCACGCACGGAACATGCTTGGAAAAGATAGAAACACCCTTAAACATTTTCCAGCTTTTAAAACTTTAAAAACAGAGGGTTTCAGATGATATTATGATGATGTTTCCTATCAAGATATAGTGTGAACTAATGATATTATAAGGCTTATGRTTCCTTTGCCTTTCCTAGTTGCTAAATTGAGAAATCTGTGTTTGTTTGATCATTTAGCTAAAGGGGCCATAAGTAAAATGAATAAATACCATTGGAGGTGGATGATTAGCCTCCCTAAAGASTGGSAGAAAAGCTTATTATTCTCTCCTTYGGAGTGCGGGGGCTGTGTGGGCAGCAGCAAGAGCATCTCTGTTCGAGAGGCAGTCTCAGAGCCCGCACGAGGGTTTCTGCCTCGTGGGGAAGCTGCACTGTGGGGGCTGCCCATTAAATTAGGCTGTCTGCTGCCCTCTCCTTATTAACGTTAAAGTGAACTGAGTGTTAGTGAGGCGTGACAGCTTGACAGCTCTAGAGACTGACGCTGTCTCAATTGGCAGAACAGCTCCAGATTAAAGCTGGAATTGTTTCATTTGCTA